GCCAAAAAGCTTTCATAGACCATAGTTCCATTTAGACTGCAGAACCACCTTAAATGGAAAAATCTTTGTGTGTCACATATTGTTTAACTCACTCATAATACTTAATAGGTATCTTTAATTAAAAGACTGGAAGTCATAGGACTAGGGTTAGTAGCTACTTGATCAGTCTCCTTGTGTGCTTAATACTGTTAGTAATAGTTGCTATGTTCCTGTGAGGGCTCCCCACCCCCCTTTCTGAGAGAAGCTTTCATTTCTCCCAAGATAGACTCAAACTCACTGTGTAGCCAAGGATAGCCTTGAACTCCTGATTCTCCTGCCTTCATTTCCCAAGTGCTGGGGTTACAGGTATGCACCACAGTACCAGCAGTATGCAGGGCTGGGGAGCAAACACAGCACTTCAGATTGCTAGACAAGTACAGTGCCAGGCGAGCTATATCCCAGACACACCCCATACCCGACTGGATGCAGGCCTTCACGTAGCCGAGGTTTCTTCGCATTCCACCTCCCTAGTTTGGGGATTGCGAGAGTTCATGCTCAGCTCCTCTCGCCTTCTATGGGGATTGAACCTAGGACTTCACAAACAGTGGTTAAGTACTCTACATCCTCAACTGGTCCCCATTTGAATTTTGAGAAAACAAAATGAATAATGCTTCTGAAAATGCTACTCTTATGTTTAGGTCATCTAATAACTGCCTTTATATTTGTATGCTTTCTCATGTTTGGTGCCACTTAATCCAACAATATTAACATTTACTATAATTTTAACATAATTCTTAATATTTAACACTATGTCAACACTGCTGGATTGAAATCCCCAAAACATTATTAGATTATGCTTTTGTTTTATATACCCAGTAGTACTGCCAAAGGAAATGTCTCTTGACTGTTTCTTTCAATCTTTCTGGACAGAGACAAGTTTAACATTAATATAAGTTAGTCAAGCAGAGTGTGGTATTGCACACATATAATCCCAGAACTTGAGAGGTAGAATCAGAGGATCAAGAGTTTGAGTCCAGCCTTGGATACATTTAAAGCCAGCCTGGGCTATAAGAGATACTGTTTCAGAAAGTACTGAAACACTCCTAGAATCACAGACTTCCAGACCTCTGCTCAAAAGCCACCTTGGGTGGTAGGTCTTCTCTTTCCTGTCCACTCTCATCCCCCACCCTCCCTGTGGTTGTCTCCAAACAGATATGCCTAGGTCCAGTGGCCTTCAGATGCACTTTGATCAAGGGGCAACTTTGACTGATGAGACATTCCTTCCCTCCCTCATCCAGGCTCACAGGCCTGGTCTAGTTGAAAAGCATATCCACCATTAGTTCCTGCATGGGCCCAATCTAAAGAAAGCCAGGTCATCACATAACATACAACCAAATAAAGTCCATAAGCCCTGGCCAAAACGCAAACCGCAAACCACATAAATGGCAATACAACATGTCTCCCGTCAAACTCACTAGCCTTAAAGAAGTGTTCTCTCTGATAAGAACTGCCTAGATGAATCCCAGGACACATAATTATTAAAAAATCTAAGTATTATTGAAGAATTAGAGGAATTTAAAGAGGACACACACAAACACTTCACTGGACTCCAGGAGGATAAAGAAACACTTATTGATGTCCAAGGTAATACAATGACTCGGGAAATGAATGGACGAAAAAGTAAGTATGGCTGGTTTATCTACTTATCACTCTCTACTATGTCCCAGAGTAATTACTTTTACTTAGAATATGTAGAAGAGAAAACTGACATACTCAATTGTTATTTACCTACATCTGAAAAGTGTGAGTGAGAATTGTACTCTCCAATCCTGGCGCTGTTAAGCAGCGGTGACTTCCCAGAACTGCTAGGTCCACAGCCGCACGCTGTTAGTTCTGTCCCAGTCGACAGCAGGGACAGGAGGAGAGCTAAATGGTATTTAGGCTTTCTGCTCATAAGTAGGTTCTGGCTGCTTTTGTCTCGAAGCAACTATGTGAGGCGATAATTTGCTACACTATAAAAACAATTTCACAATGTCCACGTCGCCTAGAGCATCATATGGTAAACCTCAGATATACACGATAAAATATATTTAGACATAAAAAATAAAAAATGTGCAGGTGAGACGCCTAAAAGAATGCATTACGTAGAGCAAACTAAAGAACTCTGCAGTGGGTAGAGCACACTCTACCAGCTCAATGGTAGAGTATCCAACTAACATGTATGAGGCCCTGGCTTCATTCTTGAGCACCATTCACACAATAAACAAACAAACAAACAAACAAATATGTATAGAATAAAATACATAAAATTTATAGTACTAAAAATCAAAATATGAGTGTGCACAGCCTCTTTTATCTACTAGGGAGTATTTTGCTATTGTCTATAACTTGTCTTCTACTCTTCCCTTAGTGTATCATATCAGGGATGTACCCTTACTTAGCATATCTGGGAGAATCATGTTCAGGGGGTACACATGTGCATGTATATGTGTGTGTGCAGTATGTATGTGTGAATGCATATGGTATGTGTATATGTGTGCGTGATGCATATGTGTATGGTGTGTGCATGTGTGCACACAGTGTATATGTGTGTATGTGTGCACACAGATGGTGTAGATATGTGTGCACACACATACAGTATGTGTGTGGTATATTTATGTATATGAAGTGTGTGTGTACACATTTGGTTGTGTGTGTGTGTATAACAATTCACTCGCCCATGTTGTTGGGTAGAGAAGAGGAAGTCAGGAGAGAGAGCAGGAAAGGGAATGTTGAGGTGAAAACTGGTGGAATTGACATTAAACAGCTAATAACTGGTGGGAAGTGGATCCTGGGTAAAGCATGACCAACCTTGTACACTTCTGGAGAACATAGACACAGATTTTGAGGAACACTTGCTGTTAAGGGGAGAGTTTCTAACAACAGGAAAATACTAGTTATCAATTTTCCATACTTTAAGAATGTGCACACCTACTCCACCAAGCACACATAACCCAAGCTTCTAAGTATTTTCAATATTTAGATATTCTGCATTGAAATAAATGAGTGACTCTTAATTTTAAGATTAAATTAAAAACAAATGTTAAGGGAAGATATGTACGAGGCTTCAATTAGTTTGTGAGAGTCAGAAAGCATTCTGCTCTGAACCTTTGACATCACCATCCCAGAGCTCCCTGAAGTCATAAACAAATCTTTCTACATGTTTCTTACATTGGTTACTATGCTTATCTAATATTTGTGGGGGGGTCCCTAAAAATTTTCTTGTTATAGAATCCATATTCCCTAGAGTTTTTCTACCCCTCTGGTGTTTGGGATCAAACCCAGAGCATCCTGAATTGCTGGTACAGTCACTCCACCAGTGAGCTATATACTGGCTCCAGCTTTCTGTGTTGGAAGTTCACTGGAGAGGGGATATATTTGTCTCTAAAACAACACGGTAACAAACAGCAGATACTCCTGAGTTCCAGTCTTGACTCTGCCAATTTCTCAGTTAAAGTTAATGAAAAAAAGAAAGCATGAATTTGAAAAAGAGCAGGGAAGGGTATATGGGAGGATTTGGATGGAAGAAAACCAAAGAAGTAATGATGTAATTATATTATCATCTCAAAGACAAAAGAAAGAAAAAATAACATAGTAGTTGGCTGGAGAGATGCCTTAACCAGTAAAGGCACTTGCTGCCAAGCCTGTGACCTCAGTCCAGCCCCCAAAACTCACACAACGGAAGGAACTGACTCCTCAAAGTTGTCTTGTGACTCCCCCAACACCCTGATATAATACATTTTTTAAAGGGCTTATGTGTGTGTGTGTGTGCAAGATTTGACGTCACCTTGTTCAGCCTCAACACTCACATCTGTAAACTGAAATAACAACGCCTAATTTTTTCCCCTCAGAGCAGTTGTAGACACTGAGTGAGATCTGGGAAGCTGTTTGCCATAAAGACTGCTCTACTCAGTTTCAACCCAAAAGTCGCCATCTTTACATGTCTCCTTCACTTGAGTCATACTACAAAGCACAGAAGGGTCTTTGCTGAGCAAATAAGAGCTACAAGGAGAAAAGAAAAATATAAAAACAATCTGGGGGCCTTCACCCTTGACTTGTTTTCTTTGAAGATTTATTTTCATTTTTACGTATATGTATGTAAGTGTGTGCCATGTGTGTACTGGTGCCCAGAAAAGGGTGTCAGATCTTCTGGAACTGGGATTACATGCAATTAATTGTGAGGCATACAATACTAATCAAGAACCCAATGCAAGTCTGCTGGAAGAGCAGCAAGTGCTCTCACCGTGGAGACGCCTCTCCAGCCCCACACTTTTTACACCTTTATTTTCCCCTGTCATCTTAAGAGTCACAGCCATTGGGGCTGCTATGGAGCTCAGTGGCTTCATTCTACACCACAGGAGGCTGGCTGGAGTGGAGAAGAGGAAAGTGTCAGTTACAGGGTCTTTCTGTGATGTGAGCTCTTCTCCTCTGTTGGAGATTCCAGCTTCATCCTCAGCTCCTTTGCTGCTCGCCTGCCCGCCCCTTCTCTTGGTCATGACAGCTTGGAGGTTTATCTAACTATGGGAAATTTTGTTGACTAGTGTACATATGTGTGGGGTCCCTGGTAGTTAGATACTCCCCTTCAATTCCATCTCTCCTAAGAAGTGTTTCCTATTTCTCTGGGTGTCTCTCATTTGATAACATGTGTCAACTACTGCCAGTGCTCCAGTTGCCAGCTTCCTGTCACTTCACCCAGTGAACTGCAAGGTCTCTGAGAACAAAGTCTGTCCTGGCTTCCTGCTTGGTCGGCACCAAGAACCCCTGTGTTCCTGAGTGATGGGGCTGCTGAGTTCCACTGAAGTGGGTCCTGGGGCTGCAACCTAAAGTGGAACACTGAACTCAGAGTTTACCCTGCAGGACAAACTTCCTCTAGGCCAGTGATCTGAAGTTCTTTGTTTAAGGAAGGGGTGTATGTGTGTGTGTGTGTGTGTGTGTGTGTCTGTTTTCAATACACGTTGTATGAAATGCTCAAAGAATTAATTAAAAAAATATATTTTTTAAAAGATAAAGGAAGTCACCAGCAATAGATTTCAAAACGTTGACAGCTTTGGGGGGGGGGGGCGTTTCTGTTTACAAAACAAAGATTTTCAAATGCTTAACATCCACAATTTAAGCTTCTTTTTGTTGTTTTCTCGTCACTCAATTACTACCCAAGAACAGAGTAGAAACTCAATGCCTGTAACATCTGGGAACATATGAGAAAATCCTAACTATATAAGCAGGCGACTATTTAAACTTTAGTGGCCATACAAAATTAACAAACATTCATCCAACTCTAAATGTAACTTTCAAATCATCTACCACATTTACCTTTACAAAATATAAATTCTTCTTTTTCAGTGATCATTACCCCATAGTTTGCTTATAAAGTTCTTTCTTTAGCTGGGCCGGGGGCGGGGAGGGGGGGAATTTTCCCCAGAAAAGTTTGCTGACTCTGCAACTTACTTTTTTTTCCCTCCACTTTACATGGGAAATAAATCAGAACTTCCATTTCCACGTCATCATTGTCTCATTTCTGCTTGAAGAATGCTAAGGTCTCTCTTGTCTTCAGGTGGCTTTTCACAAACTCAGTTACTTTCCTGAACCCGTCATCCAGCCCTTCTCCAGTGACTGCACAGCACGGTTGCACATACCAGTTCCGGTCGCTGCACAGCTTCTTCACCTTGAACATCCTGGTGATGTCTTCAGCGCTCAGAGCTCCCGGCAAGTCTTGTTTGTTGGCTAATATGACGACCGGCCTGTTTTTGATGTGTTCATTCTTCAAAATGTGCTTGAACTCTTTGCGAGAGTCCTCCAGTCGCTTTTGGCCTTCGGAACAGTCCACCACGTACACCAGCCCGTGCGCGTCCTCACAGTAGCAGTCCCAGACAGTCCGCATCTTCTCCTGTCCCCCAACATCCCACACCGTGAGTGTAAGACCGCTCTGCAGCTGGACCATTTCCACGTTGAAGCCGATGGTTGGGATGGTAGCAAGAGTCTCCGCAAACTTTAACCTGTAAAGCAGAGTAGATTTCCCAGCGGAGTCAAGTCCCAGCAGAAGAATGTGGACTTGCTTGCTTTTGAGGTTTTTAGAATTCAGCAGACCCATTTTAGGCTTTTTTTCTTTAAAGATCTTTTCTTTCGGCCGGAGACAACGTGTCCTTTCCAGGTCTTGCATGTAAACGTTTAGGAAAAGGGAGTAAAGTGCCACAGTTGTAGCAGGTGCCTGTCTTCCTTTATATTATAGCTTATCAACTTGATTCTAGGCAAACAGTGTTTTATTTGCAGTCCCAGCCTATCCTGAAGAAACTGTGGGAGTAGCCAACAGGTATCACAGTGGCTCAAAGGGGACATTCTTTGTGAGTGAGTAGGACTAGGAGTGGCCAAGTGCTGCAGCTTTATTCATTCTCTCAGGTCCACTAGTTTGGAGGAAATCAAACAGTAAGGCACACACAGGAACTCCACTGCAGAATGAACACAACCTTTTGTTTTAACCAACTTTAAGTGAATTTTTTATAGATCTGTCTTACCCAGTTGTTAATAAGTGTCAGAGCTGCCTAAATGCTTGGAGAGTTTATCTCCCTCTTGCTATCTAAATGGCTCCTGTTACCAGATTACTCAGTAGAAACTTTGAGCTCTTCCGGGTTATCGTAACCTTGGTCTCAGAAGCAGAGCATCATTTCTGAATCTTCGGGCAGGGAACTTACACTACTGACAAGACCAGATTTCCCCAGGAATTTTTTTTTTACCCAAACACGTTTCAATAAAATAGACTGCTCAAAGATGGCAAACTGAGTACACACAGGCATCTATCTCATCTCCTTCCCAATGCGCCATGATTAAAGGAACAAAGTCATCAGAGAGTGCATCAGAGGGGAAAATTTTGACAAATGTTCTAGAAGACAGAAAATAGGCCTACTGGGGTAGAACTGAGTCTGGGGATGGGGGAGGGATGTGCTGGATTGGGAAGAGCAGAAAGTAAATATATTACTAAAACAAAAAGCTGATAATATAAAAAGGAACTCAGAAAACAAAGACAAACTCCTGAAGAACTTTTTTTTTTTTTTAGTTTTTTCGAGACAGGGTTTCTCTGTGTAGCCCTGGCTGTCCTGGAACTCACTCTGTAGACCAGGCTAGCCTTGAACTCTCGAACTCAGAAATCCACCTGCCTCTACCTCCCAAGTGCTGGGATTAAAGGTCTGCGCCACCACTGCCCGGCAAAAGTAGACATCTTAAAGCCAGGCATTTATGCATGCCTTTAATGCTAGCACTCAAGAGGCAAAGGCAGGCAGATTTCTGTGAGTTCAAGGCTATCCTGGTCTACAAAGTAAGTTCCAGGACAGCCAGAGCTGTGCTGAGAAACCTTGTCTCAGGGAAGGGGTGAAGTAGATATTTTAGAAGCTCTATGATAGGTTAAAGGCAAACATTAAAGGAATACATCAGAAGGCAGAGAATGAGGAAAAAAGAGCCACTTGAGTCACATCTCAATGACAGAATCTTATTCCTCAGAAGATAGAAAGCATGCCAACAGAACACTGAAGAGGAATTTAATCCAGCAACATGGCTGCTCTGGCAAGGGATCACATCCAAAGATCTTCTAGGTCTGTGTGATTCAGCTAGAATATAGACACACTCTGGATTACAGTATGATTTGGCTGTAATATAGACATGCCCCTAATACACATCTTTAATCCCTAACTATGAAGATGAAGTTAGTTGGTAAAAGGAAGCACCCATGTTTGAAGTGACATTTAATTGAGGGGCAGATAAAGTGATGAATGAGAGATTTGACAGAGTGAGTCAGAGATAGGATACGTCCAACTCATAAAAGAGCAGACAGGGAAGGGAGGCGACTTAAGAACAGAACAGAAAAAGAAAGGGGTGATGTGATAAGGGATGTGTGTGTGTGTGTGTGTGCGCGCGCGCGCGCGTTGCAGTTTTATAGGGACAGGCGGCAAAGATAACAAGATAGACATAGAATAAGCAAGAGAATTTGAAGGAGCCGGAAGATGAGAAGTGATTGCCAAAGTGAGTATGAGGCCAAGCAGAGCAATTCAATGAAAAGCCTAGAGAAGCCAGACTGAATCAGTCAGCTTGGAAGGTTAGATTGTACGGAGGCTAGAAGCTTCCAGGCCTAGGCCTAAGGATGGTTAGATCAGACAAAGAAATGCACTAGGCTTAGCCCAAGCCATGTAGTGTATTTGAATAGTTTGAGAAGGCTCTCATCTCATCCCTCCATCTAGGGAAATAAAATTGACATTTACATAACACTCTCAAATAAAAAAATATGCAAGTGTTTCCTGGTGCTAAAGGATGAACTCTCAGGCTGGGATGCTCAGTGGGTAAAGGTTCTTGTTGCACAAACCTCAGTGACCTGAGCATGACTCCAGAACCCATGGAGGAGTGGAAGGAGAAACCCAACCCCACAAAGCTTTCCTCTGATGTCCACAAGTGCCCAATGGTATGTGTGTGCGTGTGTGCTTGTATGTGCGTGTATGTGTGTGTGTGTCCAAAACATAATTTGTTTTAAAAAGTTTTAAAATAAAGAATTGAAATCTCTAGATAGGAAGAATACCTTTAATGCTTAACAATATGACTTTTATGAAAAAACTTGAGGCATATGACATACATGTTTTACTTTTACTGAAAATTTTATAAAAGAAAAACGGTTTTGGGTAGACTACTGTATGGACAAAAAAACACACATATAAAGAAATTAGGATCTGAAGAGCTGGCCCAGCATTTAAGAACACTTGCTGCTCTTACAAAGGATTGCAGTTTTGTTCCCCTCACATTGTTGGACAGCTCACAGCACTGACAACTGCAGCTGTCGAGTATCTGGCATCTTCTGGCCTCCTCCAGCACCTATCCAGTGAAATACATGTACACATTCACAAAAATTAGAATAAAAGATTATACAAGTGGTTTTAAATTTCAAATTTTTAACCAGCTCCCTATGTCTCAGCAATAAAAGAATTTCATACTCATCCCACTACCCAGCAAGCCAACAGATAGATGTGTAGCAGATATGTTATTAATAGATAGATTGCCTACTCTGTGAACCGTGCTCTGGTAGATGCCAACTGACAAAGACAAGTTAGATCAGCCTTTAAACCTCTTTCACTGAGGGGAAGATGAAAGCTATACAAACAATGAAAGAAACATAAATGGGAAAATGATACATTCCATAAGAAAAATTAAGCTTAAGTGCCTGCGTCTTTGAGGATTGTTTCAGGATGGAAAGCAACAGCGAATTGTGAGGTGAATCTCAAATTTGGATAAACATGGAAAACTAACTGTGTTTGCCTAGGTTGTTGTTTTTCTATAAACCCGTAAGAGTCACGAGGAAATTAGCTAAATCTAACTTCTTAGACATGAAGTAAGACAGCAGGTCTAGACTCTTCAATTATATCCAAGTCACAAAGGAAGAAGAAAAGGCAGAGGAGAGAACATTGAAAGTTCGACATGTGCCGGGCAGTGGTGGTACACGCCTTTAATCCCAGCACTTAGGAGACAGAGGCAGGCAGATTTCTGAGTTCAAGGCCAGCCTGGTCTACAGAGTGAGTTCCAGGACAGCCAGGACTACACAGAGAAACCCTTTCTCCAAAAAAAAAAAAAAAGAAAGAGAGAGAGAGAGAGAGAGAGAGAGAGAGAGAGAGAGAGAAAAGAAAAAAGAAAGAAAGAAAAAGAGTTTGACATGCAATCATCTTAAAGATACTTTACAAAAAAAATAATAACACCAATTAAAAAAATAAATCAATGAAACAGCACCAGCCAGGCATGTGGATCTCTGTTAGTTTGAGGCCACTCTGGTCTACACAGCAAGTTGCAAGCTAGCTAGGTATACATAGACTTTGAAAAAGGATAAGTAAATTCATAAATAACATAACTATTGGGTCAGTTGATTGTGAGCTATTTATTAAAAAGCACTGTGCATTGTCTGGGACTGGGGAGATGTCTCAGTGGGGGATGTGCTTGACGTGCAAGTGTGAGTTCTGAATTCAGTTCCTCAAACATCAAAGCCAAGTACAGCTGCACACATCTGTAACGCCAACCCTTAGGAGTGTGGGAAACGGTGTGGGGGCTCACTGGCCTTCCAGTCTATCTGGAATAGAAATCTTCACACTCAGTGAGAGATTATCTTGGAAAATAATATGGTAAGCAATAAAGGGAGATACCCAAAATCAATCTGACACACACACAGCCATTGGTTATCAATGATAAATTTCTTGAGGGCAATGGTAGAATTGTGACTATGAAATAAGACACCCTTGGGAGGCAGAGGCAGGCGGATTTCTGAGTTCGAGGCCAGCCTGGTCTACAGAGTGAGTTCTAGGACAGCCAGGGATATACAGAGAAACCCTGTCTCGAAAAAACCAAAAATAAATAAATAAATAAATAAATAAATAAATAAATAAATAAATAGAAATACGACACCCTTGTTCTGAGAACATACTCGAGATTAGAGTGATAGAACCAATTGAGCCATTGGGCCCGCCACAGATATGCATCTATGTAAGGGAGAGGAGTGTGTGTGAATCTGGCCGCAGTTTGCAGCTGGCTGGGTTAGGTGAGTAGCATTGGATTCTTTGTACTGTTGTTGAAGGTTTTATTTTTTTCCCTCCAACTTCCTTCTAGGCTTGAACATTTTCAGAATGACTTACTGAAAGGAGCTGACCTGGAATGAGCTGATCAAATCAGGCTGCCTTCACAGGCATAATTCAAGTTCCAGAAGTGCGTAGACTTCTCCCCAAGGCTAACTTGGAGACTCTGAATGCCACCTGAGCTCTCTCTGCTCCATATTCTGAACAAGTTAAACATAACAGACAGCTAGACATCTACTTTATATTAAACTTACTGATGTGATCTTATGCAGTCCACTGTTGGTTCTAGGGCAGCTTTTGTTTATCTAGGCCATAATGAGTGTAAAAGTATCTTTTATTTGCCAGATGTGTAATTGTAATCCTGGATACTTACTGTTGAATAAGCTCACCCTTTCTACTTTTTTCTAAACTTTGGCTGGCTGATTCAACTCAGCTATTCTGGCTCAAACTTCTCTCCAAACTGATTGATTTCAATCTGGCTTCTCTCAGCTTCTCAGGGAATTGTTCTGCTTGGCCTCTGGAAATTTGTTCTAAACTTCTGGTTCCTTCTCATTCTCTGGCTTCAGCTGCCTCTGCTGAACTGTACTAAACTGTGTGAACA